CACAGACAACCCCTCGTCAATATGCGTTTTTCGCATTGCATTGCTGCAAAAAACGCATAAAAACCAGTAAGAATCACCAGGAAAAAACAAATTTTCCAAAAATGTTCATTTGTTTTGGTGCTAAACTGGTACAGGCATATGCCAGAAAGTAAAACCCGCCATCAGTTCGCTTCTCCGGTCAGCAACCCACGAAAGAGACAGTGAGAAACCTGTTAATGAATGGCTTACCAATATTTAGTGTGCTAATACTCATGCTTTGACTTCTAGGTGCCTTTATGTTCTTTAAAAAGTAAAATACAACAAAAAAAAAGAGTTCCAGCTTTTTATTTTGTAATTATTGTAGCAGTAACGTGAATAAAACGAAATAAGCATTTGCGGAATGAGAAAAAAAAATTACCTAAAGATGTTCTGATGTGCTCCCAAAAATGACGGGTCTCAGCGGGGCGTGCCTGAAACGATTTACATGCAATCAATAATATTTAAATACTGAAAATGTAGAATAAAATTAAAAAATTCATATGCTATTGTGATCGTAGCTATACTATTCGTTAGCTCGTGATTCTGATTTCCCCCCTCCCTCCTCCCGCCTTCCCCTCCACCCGTCTTCCTTCCCCATTTTCCCAGATGAAAATAGTACATGCCACCACGACCTATTTGCAGGATGTACAGCCTGCTCATCTGCCTCATCCTCACGTTCTTTGGTTAACAGGCGTTATCCTTTTCTGATGGTTTTAGCACCTAACGAAGCATAAAATACTTATAAAAGGCCCATACAGGCTTTCTCTGCGAAGCGCTGAACTTTAATTCAACTGAATTCGCACAGATTTAAATAAAGCTAAAAAAAAAAGGGTTTGATAATGATCCGAAAAGTTCAACAAATGAAAAATCATAAAGGGACAACTAGTCGTTTTATAATACATTTATTCGTTTCGATGATAAACTGGTGCTGGCATATGCCGAAGATTTAAATCCACACCGGCCTGAACAGTCACAAGAGTCCGATGGATGGTTGCTGTTGGCATTTGCTATTACTCGAGCTACTGACAGCTCCTAATTGCTTCCGCATCTCACACAGTGCGAATGC